TACTTATATGTGTTTATTTCGCATTATTTATTGGCATCATTATTTCTAATTGTATTAACTGTGTACCGGTACGACATCTGCCATACTGTAAGTTGAAGATTGTAATTTTATTTTATTTTATTTTGTAATTATCTTAAGACTTAATAAATCTTAATTAATTGTAACTAGAAACTGTTTTGGGTCGTATCTTTAATATTGTTGATTATATGGTATCGTCCTTTGTTAGGCACTGTTTACAACGAGCCAATTAAAATTAAAATAGGAGATTAATTTCTCCCAATACAAGTCAGTGCGTAAAAGAATATCTTTTTTTATACAGCAATAATCATTTCTCTTGTTGAGTTCTAGGAATATCTATTTTTATACATCAATAATCATTTCTCTTGTTGGGTTCTAGGAATATCTGTTTTATACAGCAATAATCATTTCTCTTGCTTAGTTCTAGGAGTATATTTTTATACATCAATAATCATTTCTCTTGTTGGGTTCTAGTAATATATGTTTTATACAGCAATAATAATTTCTCTTGCTTAGTTCTAGGAGTATATTTTTATACATCAATAATCATTTCTCTTGTTGGGTTCTAGTAATATATGTTTAATACAGCAATAATCATTTCTCTTGGTTAGTTCTAGGAGTATATTTTTATACATTGCGCACTAGGCTATGTGCGGCTTGTATAAAGTGAAGATTATGCTGGGGAAATCTTACTTTCGATGTCTAGATACACACGTCTCATCTGTAATAACGTCGGACTTCTGTTGGTCTTGTGTAGTGGATCATCTCTTTCTTGCGTTGACTAATAATTGTCAATTGGTATCTACTTGATGTAATTTCACCATTTGAATATGTAGGCTTACAGTAAATATTTGCTACAGTTGTAAATAACTTGAAAATTTCCTTTATGCTGATTGTTCAGTCTATTATTATTTACCTCTTTGTAGTTATTCTAAAATAGATTTCGTGCTTCTGTGTTTCTCCAACTGGGTGTGTTCACTCCGTTAAGTAGGTTAAATAGTTGCCGTGTACCAGTTGGCTGTTTGAACTCTGAACTCTTGAGACTGTGACCTAAATTGGTTGTCGTCGGCTAGCTCTGTTACTTGTAGTAGTTATTTCAATTGTTATTTTTGTACACACTTTGATATGTTACATAGTTCCATTTGTAACACATTAAAATAATTGTTATAAGTTTACTTGTAGGCTTATGAGAATAATTTTCAGCTACAGTTGTAATTGATGAACGTCCTCTTTTGCCATGCTTTCTGTGTGTAGTAAACTCGTCTCAGACTTGATTGATACACGGTCGTAATGGCGTTCGCTGTATTCCTCCGCTCGAATTTTAAAATATATCCTTGTTACTCAATGTTCTGTAACACATTTCTGACACTTCTTTACAATATTTGTAACGCATCGTCGTTACACCACTTCTGACACCATTTGTAACACACACATGTCCTGACATCATTATCATTGTAACTTATTTCTTAGGCTGTGGGTTATGTCAGTAGCATGGTTACTTGTTTTAAGTTAGTAATTCAGAATGCCGGCTAAGACTTCATCGTTCTTCCTCGTATTATCCAGGCACGTAAATAAGAATACTGAATCCTGGTTAAACTGACAGTACTTTATTAAATCACAGTTTACACAGATAATATTAATAATAATCCTCGCATGAATGTAATCATTTCACATATATATATATAATATTCCATCACTCAGAAAGACACGTCCTCACACTACTATAACTCAGCTCAACTGTACTACATCTCAACTCTAACTCAACTCCGACTAACTCTGACTCTCTTTGCCTCAGCTCTCCTAGCTCTCAGTCAACTCATACTTTTTTACCAGCAAAGCG